TTACCCAAAGTCGATGTCACAGATAGGTTATCTACAAGAAGGCAACTATTTCCACAAAAGATTAAAAACATCTGAAACAATAAGTGATTGTTTTTAAGAGGATTCACCGTACTTCTGCTCATGAGAGCATTTTGAAACTTTAGTTTTTAATTATTAGTTTTTATGTTTTCCAAGTAATGCAAAAAAATGAAGTGTATAAAAGCAACATTTAAAGTAAGACATTACATGTATTACAGGCATTACTGCAACCAGGTCAGTTTTCACCCGGAACAGCCAGTTCTCAGATTTATGATCTGGATCAACTATTATTTTTTCCGTTTTCATAGAAATATTGAAATTATGAGGAAATAAAATAAATTTGCGAGTATTTTATTTAAATTAATAAAGAATGTAATGCTCGAACTTATGCCAAGAAGTGACAAAAAACATAATTTTTTTTTTTTTTTTTTTGTTACCTGCAAATATATTGTAAAGCGAGTGTGACATTTTCAGTTTATAAGTTTTTAACTTCTATTTTAATTAGTCAAAGTAAATCAACCAGTTCTAAATATGTATATATGTTATATGAAATAAATGTTTGCATTAAACGAAATAAACAATTAAAGAGGGAAAATTCATAATATTTGTCTTTTTACTGCTCAGTCGGCCCACCAGCGGCCGAGCGGTAAAGTCGCTGAGCACTGGTAGTTCGGTCCGAGGTTCGAATCCCACGAACGGGCTGGCTGCATGGGCGTTTTCGTGGTTTTCCCGATGTGTGACGTGTATGCGAACCAGTTTTCCTTAGAAAGTCCTCCACGAAGTCATCCCTCCTCTTAGGCAGATAGCCCTAGTGTGCTTTGCCATAATTAAATACACCAACTGTTTAGTCATTTTCTTTAACTCAGATAATTACAGAATTTTATGAAGCAGAAACAGACAAAGTAGATTATTTATTTTTAAATCATTAATTCAATATTTTTAATAAATAATGAACAATTAAATAAAATAGTAATAAATCAGAAATAATAATAATAATAATATAAATAAATGTAATAAATAATAGATAAAATATTGAAAACTATTTATTTCATACAACTATTAAAAAAAAAAGTATTTTTTTAATGATTTTTTATTTTTAATTTCTCTAATGATCCTAATTTTAAAATGTTCCAGTCATCATTTTGAAAATGTGGCAACACTGCTTGCAAAGGGGAAAAAAAAATACATTACGAAATAAATGAGCAACGTATGTGCGTTTAATACTTTATTTGTATTCAAACGCTGTTTGTTATTATTTGTGTCAGCGATTTCTTATTAAATTCTAAAGATTTCGGAAACATTTTTTCAGAACGATTTATCAAAGCCTACTGTTACTGTGGTTATTACAATGCTTAAAAGATGGCGCCAGGAGGCGTACTTCATTTAGCGTGCAAGAGAGTTTTCTGCTAGTGAAATGCCCCACACGCCACTATATTTAAACAAAATTTTCATATGCAACAAAAGGGTAACTTACAAGTCTTACTTAAAAGAGAGGAAATAATACATGTGTGTACATATTTTTTTTATAATTACCTGTTAGACAATGGCCACTCCTAAGGCTACAAGTGGTGGCCATTTTATTGTGGAAGCAGGTATTAGGTGTTTCGACATAAAAGAGTGCATAAGAATAATAGCAGCAATAAGATGTGAACACCTACGGAACCTAATTACTTTAAATCTTAAATTCTGGCTTCGTCAAAACTGGCAGAAAGTTTATCGCCCCGTCTTAAATTTTTCAGTTATGTTACACCAGTGCAGAAGAAGGTTTAAACAAATTTATTTTTTTAGATCTTCAGCTGAACAGTTTATTCAACTAGGGTAATAGCAGAAGTAACAGCACCGTTTACATTTTTAAAACAATAAAAACCTAAAATTGAAATTTAATATTTAACATATTAAATTCATAAGATCAAGTCTCGACTCAGGCTGTCAATTTCTGCAAGCAAACGTGGCTAGTAAAGGCTAAAGCCGAATTAATTATATTTTAAAGGGTGGGAGATAATAGTATTGAGGCGGTCAACTGTCGTAGGCAAAAGTTCGCACCTAAAAATAAAAACTATGTTCTTGTATACATTAACTACTTTGCATTCGGTGTGTCCTTCAGTGTCAAGAAGTAGGGAAATAATGCTGATATCCGCGAATGACTAAACTGAGCTCATATGAAAGACACTAATGATCAAGTAATTTTTCAGCTGACGCAGAGAGGTAAATAGACACTCTTTATGCAATTGAATTAACTATAGTGAACCTGTCGTAGCAGCTCTTCCATTTGCTTCTGAGAGTGTAAACGAATACTGGTATTGAGAAGTACATTATAAAGCGGTCACCTTCAGACGTAATCAATATAATATAGAACAATGACTAGTTGACTTAAACAGGGTTCATTTTAGCCCAAACGGCGTAAGTCAAGAAGGGCCCTCAGTCTCATAACGGGATTTTGCGTTGAATCACTATAAAATTCTGAATCACTTTTCAAATTGTTGCCACCAAATATTATCGCCTTGTATTATATTTAAAGAAGTTAAATAATAAATAATCTGTATGAACATATGTTTCGCGCACTTTGAAAAAACAACGGCACTTAGAGCCATGAGATTTTGAATAGCGTAGCACTCCACCCGAATATGAGCCCCTGAAACCCGAATTTGGAATTTGTTTCATTGTGTATATTCATACATTTAAAAGTTAATAATTTTTAAATTAAAATTTTTTTTTAAGTTTATTAATAAAGGGCAAACGGCATATGCCCCTCGACTCATCATCTACGAGCATGATCATAGGCCGCAATTTACATCAAAAGCAGCGTAAATCAATATTTTATTATCTTTGTTTAAAGCAATTTGTTTTCTTTCTTACATCTTTTGCTTTCTTTTCCTGAAAAGAACGTTAAAATAATGTTTTTCCCAGACAACAGCTAAAGCAAATATCGCGTCTTTCAGTGTAAATTGTTTCTGAAAATCGCACACACTACTACATTTAACGTTCACGCTTCTACACGTGAAATTGATTCGGTAGTTGGTGTTGATGTTCTGGATAATTCATACATTGAATAAAACTTCTTACTTCGGGGGCATAAGTACACTGACTAAAATTGAAATTTAATATTTAACATATTAAATTCATAAGATCAAGTCTCGACTCAGGCTGTCAATTTCTGCAAGCAAACGTGGACACCTATGCAAATGACGATATCTGCGATCCTAAGGTACGTCACGGACTCCGCCGCTATATATCGTGTAGGAAAGAGCATCGGCTTTAGTCGCATGCAAAATGCCTCGCAGTTCGGAGATCTCTGATTTCGAGAAAGGTATAATTATCGGGTGTCACAAATGTGGCCGATCCTTAAGGGACATATCTAGCGATCTGAAGTACTCAAAATTGACAGTGGCCTATGCGATTAAGAAGTGGAAGGTGAGCGGTGATTGTCGGGATGTGCCCCGAGTCGGCAGACCAACGAAACTGGAAAGATAGGACCGACGAGTGCTGTCCAGAGAAATTCGGAAGAACCGCACCCAACCGATGGCCCTCATCCGCGATGAGTTTCAACAGGCATCTGGGAGTTTGTTTCAATGAATACCATCCGTAAGGAAGCACATCTTCTTGGTTTTCATGGTCGTGCTGCTGCCCATAAGCCTTTGATCAAAGTCCAAGCGCGCTACTCGGTTAATGTGGTGCAAAGCACATCTAAATTGGACCGTAGATCAGTGGAAACGGGTTCTTTGGAGTGACGAATCAAGGTTCGCCCGTTACCATTCGGATGGCAGGGTCTGGGTCTGGCGTCTACCTGGAGAACGTCTCCTGCCAGAATGCATTGTGCCAACAGTCAAGTTCGGCGAAGGTGGAATTATGTTCTGGGGGTGTTTCTCCTGGTATGGGCTGGGACCCTTGGTCGTCCCCATTCATGGTAAGCTCAACTCCGATGCCTACTGCATTATTTTGGATGACAATGTGCTTCCTACGTTGTGGCAGTTTAACGGGTTGGACCCCTGTTATTTTCAGGACGACAATGCCAGTTGTCATGTTTCGACGTTAACCAAGGCTTGGTATGGTGTCAATGGAGTTCGTGGAATGGACTGGCCTGCCCAGAGTCCAGACCTGAAGCCTATCGAGAACCTCTGGGACGAGTTGCATCGCCGAATTCAGGGGTGCACTACCCGTGCGAAATCGGTGAAGGAACTCCTATGTCTTCTCCAAGCCGAGTGGAAGAAAATACCATTAGCTGTCATACAAAGACTTGTGGAAAGTATGCCCCGGAGGGTCCACGCTGTAATTACTTCTCGTGGAGGCTCTGCCAACTATTAATTTTGAATAAAGTTAGTTTTTCTTTTCTATCACAGGTGTCCAAATACTTATTGGTAGTCAGTGTATAACACAAGTGATTTCCGTATTCCTTCAGATCGAAAGCCTATTATATACTTCTTTATTTCATAGGCCTAAATTTTGGATTTCAATTAAAGTGCGGTTGTTTTGATACTGCTGATCAACTGGATCCGATTACGAGGGATTTTACTGTATTAAAGTATTGCAGATATAGGGTGCAAAGCCTAATATGTATTAGACAAAAGACCTCAATCTTTGGTATACTGGGAGATTTGCAATAAATAGTTTCAATATATATAACTGTCTGATATTTTTCCAGTTTATTCCAGATATTTTTATGATGGTATCTTGTTCAAGGAACTTTATAGGTCTCCCAGTGCAATGATATAAGTGCAAAATGTACTGTTTGAGAACCCTTTTATTATCTGAGAAATGTGTTTTTACATTATTTACATTCTTCAGAAGAAGTGGATTGTATGTACCTATAAAATGCTTGAATTTTATCTTTTGACTACTGCCACCCTACGTCTCAGATAAATACTTTATTTATCACTACAGTTCATATCTCAAACTCACCACATTTACAGTCTTGGAGTGTAGATTTATAAAGAATGAGAATTGTTATCTAGAATCTTAAACAAATGGAAAATGTACTTTGAAAGGTGTTCATGAAGGAGAGCTTAGAGATAACCTTTCCAGAACCCATGTTGTCATCACTGAGTTATTCAACATTTATCCCATTTAAAATGCAGGAATTGAATTATTGGTTTAAAAGTTAGGAGCTTTTTCTGTTTAAGGTATTTAATTTAATAATTTCGGTTTGATTCTTCAGAGCAATAAGTTTGGAAACTACATTTCTTCTGCTTGAGCAATATTTTGAATTTTTCTCCGAACTTCATACCATAGGATTTATTAAATTAAGAATATATCTTCTTTTAATTGAGAACCAGCGCCGTTCCGAAATAATATTTTCTATTTTCATATGAATGTTACAGTTATCTTTTTACTTTAATTTAATTTAGATTGATGGAAAAATCTCAGTTTCTTTATTTTGTTTCATAAAATTGATTTGTAAGAAAACTTTTCATAATTTGGTTATCCAGAGGAAGTCAGAAGTATTCTACTTGTGTAAATAAGTATCATATTTATACCTGTGGCGTAATTTTTTAAGATAATTATGTTGACCGATAATGAATCGCTGGAGGATGTGAAAAAAGAAGCTTTCGAAATCTGCCGAAGCTTTTTGCTAGGGCCATGGAAGACATTAAAGATGGAAAACTTTAGGTTTTCTGCTGTAAGGTAAGAATTTAATTTATTTTTCCATGTTCATGAAATATTTGCTCAATTATTCTTGTTAATGCTTTTTCCAAGGTTTCAATTAATAAAATTGTAATTCCTATCATCTTCATTGTTGCTTCATTTATCTCATGTTAGATTTAATGCATTAACTGAACTTTCTTTGAGAAGTGTTTTAAAGCAAATTTCAATCTATTACTTCATTAATTAAGATTTATTCCATGATATGCATTACGTTTTTATAATTATACTGGAGTTGGAATGCAATTAAAATATCCTTGAATGATGTGAAAGAAATAGGAAAAACTACATTACCGTTTCTAAATCAGCTCTTCAATATCTTTTCAGTTATTTTATTCATGACCTGAATACATCTGTGTGTAAAATGTAATATATAACTATTTAATGACAGTGATCGAGGCGAAATGTATTGCTTGAGCAATATACTGCTGAATGTTGTCAATCATGTCTATCAGAGTTTCATATACTATACACCCTGTCCAGAAATGCTCTTCACGGCCATTATGCTTGTAATCATCTTTCATAGACATATACTTTCAATTGCAAAAATGTTTTAAATGACTCAAATATTCATATTTTCGTATTTTTACATTAAAATTGTGAATTTTGTATGAAATACGAAATCTGCATCTGATGCGTTCTTCCAATCGCCATACTTATATTTAGAAAACTTTTGTACTTGTTATAAAACCAATTCACAAAACATTTGACTTTTGTACGACAAAAAACGACGGGAATATTTAATTTCAATATTGGGTACTTTTCCGTTTCGCCGGCGCAAATCTCGCCAAGCAGACTTTATTGGCGACAACATACGGTATACACATAAAAAATATTTAAAAAACGTTAGTTCTAAGAATTCTTTTTTTGAAGGCATAAACATTTTAATATCGCTTAAAATTTTATAAAAGCCATAAATAAAGACAATAAATTTGTAAAAAGACATTAATTTAAGAATTTACTATGCTTTCATGGTTCAACATCCTGATTCGCCGGTTCATATCACGTGACCCCAAGAGATCTCATCTCACGTAAACTACTCTACAAAAATCAAATGCTCTCAGTAATTATCTACATTAATTTCAAGTTAAATCTTAATTTGGAACACAAGTTTAAATGCAAGAAATATTCCAATTCGTACGAATAGCTTACTCAGAAATTATGTAAAACTGCAGTGCTTTACTTCGCTAATGCATTCTCATTAGAATTGATGAATTTAACCTTGACTTTACCTTTTCTATATTTTCGGCTTCGGGTAGCGCTGTGATTGCATCCTAATTGACTTAATTACCGAAAATGGCCTTAGACATAAAACTGAACTATCTGATAAAAATTCTATGTAATTATATGCCAGTATTGAAAGAAACAATCAATCTGATAAGAAAAAGCTGCCACTTGTTTTGAAAATGAGGCGTAAAAGGTTACCAGCAAGAATATTCCGTTTGGCATCGGTTGTACCATTATTGGCGACTTTATCGCTTGCGCCGGCAAAACGGAAAAGTACCCAATATTGCGATATTTAACATCATTAAAATTGTATTGAGGGGTCGGTAAATAAATAAATTACAATAATTCGAGAGCCCCCTGCCCACTCAGTGATATTCTTATGTGGTTTAGTGTATTTAATTTATATTTTTGTTACATTTGATACGCTGAAAGAATTTTCAGTGCTACTTTGGTAGACGGTTGCATGGATTTTAGCGATTATTTTTGGCGAGCGATACGACTTATGATAAACCCATTGCTGGACAAGTTATTTATGCTAACCGATACTTTATTGTCATTTTATTTAAAAAATAATGCGTTTTATTATGCATAAATTGTTTTAAATTTTATATATGATTTATAAATATTAAAAATCAATTTAATTTTGCATTTTTATTTGAAATAAAAATTTTGCTGTTTATGATATTTTATATAATTTTATGTTGTGGATGATGTAATCAATGACGTCACCTTGCTTTAAAAGTAATTGGTTTTATTAATATGTATAAATTTAATCTAATATTTTAAACATTATTTATGGTTGTTAAATATTAAAATAAAATTTAATTTTGCATTTTTTAAATGATTGTATTATGAATGATTATTTAAATAATTTTAATTCTATGCGTGATGTAATCAGCTCCCTGATTGGTTACTGAATATTTGTGCATTACCGCGCCATTTTAAAATTTTATTATTCATCTCTTCGAATTCCTCAGATTTGAAATGGAATGGATATGTCCGTTTCGAAGATGAATGTTGTTATTGGTAATTCCCAAGAATTATTGGTATCGGAATAAAAAAAATGCTCTTTGAGACCTTATTTTGGCCAACCTGGCTTTTCTAATCAAAGATTTATTTATAAATTGTTACAAGCGTCAGAGGAAATTTATTTTAAATTTTTGGAGGAAACCTCGCTAATTGCTTCTTCAATGAAGTGCGAGAGATATGTATCACAGATGAAAATCGTTAGAAGATCTTTTTTTTTTTTTTTTTTTTTTTTTTTTTTTTTTTTTTTGGTACTTATCAATATACGACAGGTAAAATACTTAAAATTTAAGTACATAATTCTCTTTTACTTTATAATTGTATACTTCAATTTTTATTAAAAAATTAATACAATGTTTTCAAAAATTCCATAGATATTTATTGCCACATATGTTTTAACGTTAAATAATTAAATCCTATAAAACTTATTTTAAAGTATTTGAATTTAAGTAATATTTTAATTCTTTTAAACGTTAGTATGATGTTTTTAATTCGATATTCAATTTAAGTAATACAGGGTGTTTATAAAGTTCCGGACCCAGTTTGATGTTTAGTAACTCATAAACTAATGAAGATATAAGCAAACTTATCGCATTTATTGATGGAATAACTTATATATTTTCCTTTTCAGGTTTGAATATATTTACTTTTGCCAAGATCGTCTGCGCTTGGGGTTAATTTCAGATAATTTCCTTTTCCAGTCTAAATATCTGTACTTTTCTAAATATCGTCTGCTTATTAATTGCATTTTTCTCTTTTTTTGTTTTTTGCAACTATTGCAATGTTATGGACTTTTTCCTTTGGGAATTTGTAAAGTACAACGTTTACGGGAGGAGAGTGTCGAACATGGATGACCTAAAAGCCAGAATTACAACCGCAATAGCCTCTGTGGATGCCAACATGCTTGCCGGTACCTGGCGTGAACTTGAATATCGACTTCATATTCTCCGTGCGACGAAGGGGGCACACGTGGAAGTTCATTGACAAAGGTCATGAAACTTTTTTAGTCTATCTAACTATTTATGCTATTAATTTTAATATATCTTTATTGTTTTATGAGTTATTAAACATCAAAATGGGTCCGAGACTTTATAAACACCCTGTATTTTAATCCAATTAAAAGTTGGCGCAATATTTTTATAGCGGTGTTTTTATTCTATTATATGAAAGTAATAATTTAACCTTACTTTAGCATTTTATACTCTTAGTAAATGTATTTATTTACATTTGCCAGCCATCTTAAAAAACAACGTTTTCAACAAAAAATTAATCCATTATTTTTAATAATATTTATTTTTTAAAGTTCCGAATACTTTACTATATGCGTAAAATACGTAAAACAGCATTTTTCAAGATGGCTGACGACTGTAAAAACCGCGCCAACAATTGCGCCAATGTAAATCGCCAAAATTCCGTAGAACCATCCAACTAACCGAATATTCTCACACGTCTAAAAATACATAATTAATATTCCTGTGAAATTTTATTACTTTAGAATGATAATCGAGTACTAGTACAAAATAAATAATTAGATATAACAATTTTTATTTTTAATTAATTCAAATAATATTACGAGTTGGCTACATACTCATAACCTGCCAGTGTTATTTGCAATACGAATTCCAGAAAATTGTGAGAATAAAATCCCCATTTTGAAAAAAAAAATTATATTGATCAATATCTTTCACAATAATTTCCAGAGAAATGCTTGTCACGTAAGCTCTTAAAGTGATAAATCTTTTTCAAAACCGAATTTTACTTTTATTTGCGTACAAAGGCAAATATTTCGGTCTTCATCTTGCGAAAAATCCCTAAATATAATTCTCGGTTTTACTATCAAATATCTCAACCAATTTTTATCATATAGTAGTTAAATCTTTCGTGCTTCGCTTTTTCACAAAGAGCACAAATGTTTTCTAAATATAAGTATAGGGAGTGGAGGAACGTGTGAAATGTTAGACTTAGAATTTATGTAAAAATACAAAAGCGTTTATCTTTGCGTCATTTAAAACATTCTTATAACTGAAAATATATATCTAAAAATAAATAATACTATACCTGAATAATAAATATACATAAAAATATATATCTGAAAATATATATCTATACATTGCGAAAATAAAGATCGGGAAAAGACTTCTGCGGACGCGGGGTTAATCAAAATACAAGTACTTATATATTACTTTCTCTGGCTGCCCCCCAGACGGTATAGTGGTTAGATATGCTTGACTGCAATACCGAAGGTTCCGGATTCGAATTCTGGAGAAGGTATGGATGTAAAATTGTCTATTCCTTCATAGGAGGTAATGGTGGTCACCTATTAGGTGACACCAGAATAAAATGGCCACCAATTCTGGCCTTAGAGTGGTCAATGCCGTTATAGGCAAGTGCCCGCCTTTGGGAAAAAAAAAAGAACGTTCACTAGCTTTAGACCACTATCACACATACGTTTACTAATTCAGAAGTCAAACAACAAAAATCAGCGTTGTATTTACAAAATTTTCACAGGACTAGTTTCGATGGTTTTACCGAACCACCATCTTCAGCTGCAAAACCGCAAATGAACAAGATAGGAAATAATGATTAGATAAGATAAGAAAGCCTGGACAAGAATAAGCAAGTGGCGTCATCTGTTGGTGAAACCAGAACTAAAACATAATTTCTTTAAAGGCCGAAGGCAAATTTGGATTGGAATTAGGATTGTTAACTACAACAGAAAGATTTTTATG